TTCTCTTGCTCGATAAGGAATCGAGAATGTAGGAAAATTTAAGATAAACGTATCTTTTAGATGTTCAGAGAGATCTTACGATTTTAAAAAATTTAAACAAAGGGTAGCTACATACGCGTTCGACGATCATAATCCACCGATGCTGGATCAAATCAAACCGTTTTGCGAAGATGTACACGAGTGGCTTTCCGGACATCACGAAAATGTAGCTGTAGTTCATTGTAAAGCGGGTAAAGGTCGAACTGGCGTAATGATTTGTTGCTATCTTCTTCACACTAAACAATTTCCCACTGCCACAGAAGCCCTTAACTACTACGGGACTAAAAGAACACACGACAGGTGATTAGACTGTATTGTATTGTATTGTATTTGTAGATGTAACAGATAATTTGATACAAGTTGTTGGTTATTCAGGAAAGGGGTAACAATTCCTTCTCAGAGGCGGTACGTGGATTATTACGCTACTCTTGTAAAAGAAGAATTGAATTATCAACCGGTTACGTTGTTATTACGGAAAATACAATTGGATCCAGTGCCGATCTTTCACGGAGGTCAAGGATGTAAGAACAATCAAGTACGGGGTGCATATATCAATGGAAAATACGATCACATACAGTTTTTCTATTTTAGATCTGCATTGTGTAATATCTGAGTCGAAAAAGAGGATATATAGCTCTGACGTAGTCGAAATACGAAAAGGAGTGCACACAGTCAGCATCCCTTTGAAACACAGCGTAGCGCTGACAGGAGATATACGAGTGGATTTCTTTAATAGACCAAAAATGAAACGAAAGGTATATTTTCTCTCTCCTCTGTGTTAAGCGTTCGGCGAGATGTGTGCTGGTGATTTAGGTGATTTATCGTCAAGTATAATTAATCGATCCGTTCGCTCCATACGTAGGAGAAGTTGTTTCATTTTTGGTTCAATACATTTTTCGTGCGGGACTACTTAACGCCGGAGTACGATAACGGAGAGTTGCCAGTCGAGCGTTCAACAAGGGCATTGAGTTGCGACGGTTCAAATATGGAATTACCAATGGTTGTCTCGCACATGAATCCCATAACTGGATCGCTAGCTAGTCTCGGAGCTGTGCCACGTACTCTTGTTTTAAGTATAGATAAATGGGGTTTGGATGACGCACACAAGGATAAACATCACAAAGCGTATAATGCAGATTTTAAGGTTAGTCGATATTGTTTGCGATGTGAAGGGGGGTGGGGTGGGGAACGGTATTGGGTGAATGATATCGAAGCGAACATACGCGAGGAATCGTACACAGTGGAGAAGTATATTCCGGCTGGATCGAACGTTGTGTTATAGGTTAGCTTGTTTATGCATCGAGTGGGTGGCAGTATATCGCAAGCAGTGCCAGGGACAACAAACAGAACGAGAGAGGGTATGCAAATAGGAATGGGAGGACAAGACACCCCGAGTGAATCGAGCGAAGCGGATAGCAGCGAATGCGATACAACCGGAGATACAACGGGTGACGAAGATGGGGAATCTGGTGAGTCCTCTGCATCTCTGGTGGTGAATCACCATCCTCTTACACACAGCAGTAGCCGTACACACGTTAGTATCAACCAAAGAGCTAGTCTCAGAGAAACTGCCAAGGGTTTGCTCTCGCGTGGGGATAAAAGTAGAAGTAGTCACCGACAAAGTACTAGCAGTGTTAAACGTTCTTCGGCTCTCGTACGTTCAGCCACCTTAGATACGTAATATACATACATATTTATCGTATTTTGTACTTAAACGTTGAGTTCTCTGAACTGGCATCCGAGCTTTACGCCAACTTTATGCGAAAACACACACACACACACATTCATCGTATTACTAGCTTTCCTTTGTCATGCTAGCATGAAAAATGAGCATTCGATAAGTTCTAGGATGCATCGATTTTTCATTTGTCATCATCTGGTGTTTAACAAAAAGTTACGCGTGTATCGAAAAGTTTAGGGCTGATCGATCAATTACGAAGAATAACGTATAACAAGTATTCAAAGAAATTTCGGCAAGATGGGAAATCTTGCCGAATGCTGAATTTCGAAAGTTTCGTTTTAGTTTCACAGTTTTAGCTAAGCGATCGATTCTACTTTTATTTAGCAGAAGATTTTTATACGAATAACGAACGGGTCTAATGGACGACATTATTAAAGATTCCGAATTGAAAGAATCGTAAAATGAAACGTCGTATGTATTTCCTTTTTCCCCCCTTTTTTCTTTTCCTTTTTTCGTATGTAGCATGTATCGCCGTTTGAAGAAAAAGAAAAAACAAATGCTAAGATGTTTCAGTATTTGAGGGGTTACGATTTTTTTCTTTTACGATTTCTTTTATACGTTAGGAAATGTTGAGAAAACGAATCTATCTATCTATCTATCTATCTATCTATCTATTTATCTATCTATCTATCTATCTATCTATCTATCTATCTATCTATCTAT